AATCTTATTCATTCACTGACTATAAGCCCTTGTCCTGTTGAACTGTACAACAGACAGAGGAATATTCAAAAGAGGAGTGATGTTTTGACAGACTTAAGGTCAAACAGACCTCTTTAGCAAAAAATGCATTCAAATACTAAACCACACAAAACGGGCATACACTGCTTTGTCAGTCTTTTGCCTTGTCAAAACAAAAAATATTTTATTCAAAAAAATCTATACTTACTGGTCACCTTGTTTGGTATACCTTGTTAGTATTGAGTTGGACCCCCTTATTACAGTCAGACCTGCATTCTTTGTGGCATAGATTTAACAAAGAACTGAAAATATTTATTTTGGTTCATATAGACAGGACAGCAACACAGAGCTATTAACATTTCACCACATCTCAAAGGTTCTTTAATATACTAAGATATGCTGATTGTGGAGGCCATCTAAGTACAGTCAACTCATTGTCATCTTCAAGAAACCAGTTAGGGATGAGCTGAGTTTTGTGATGTGGTGAGTTATCCAGCTGGAAGCAGCTATCAGAAGATGGCTACACTGTGGAGGACAATATTCAGGTAGACTGGTGCGCTTAAACAATGCTGAGTTGGTACTAAGGGGACCAGAGTGAGCAAAAAAACATATCCCCCACATCATTACACCAGCAGGAGCCTGAACTGTTGATACAAACAAGGTGGATCCATGCTTTCAAGTCGTTTCCACCAAATTCTCTCTCTACCATTATAAGTGGCATCAGAAATGGTTCCAGTCTTTTATGGTCAAATTTTGGCGAGCCCATGTGAACTGTAATCTCAGTTTCCTGTTCTCAGCTAACAGGAGTGGCACCTTGTGTGGTCTTCTTCCTGCTGTAACATACGTCCCTTCAATACCTAGGTTGTAATAAGTGGTTATTTGAGTTGTTGTTACCTTCCTATCATCGTCAAGCAGTGTGGCCATTGTCCTCTCACCTCTGGCATTAACAAGGCATTTTTCCCAGAGAACAGAATATTTTCACTCTTTTATTTTTGACCCTTAAGGGGTCAAAATCACAGTAGGTCAACAGTATAAAAAAAATACCCAGATCAGCTAGCCTGGCGCCAACAACGACACCATATTTAAGTAAATCAAACATCCTACCCATTCTGATGCTCAGTTTGAACTTCAATGGGTCATCTTGAACATGCCTACATATGCAAATTCATGTCGCTGCCATATATTTGTTTTTTTAGATATTTGTTTTAATTAGCAGTTGAACGGGCGTGCCCAAAAAAAACAGTTCAGCAAGTATACCTACTTGCTGGTAGCGAAAAACTGAATAAATGCAAAGCACTCAGACAGACCCAAGCATAAAACTATATCTACACATGAGGTACTACCGACCTGAGATTTTATCTATCCATCTATGGAAATAATATTAATTGAATCTTTGTCACAATAAGAGAAGAAGAACCTCACATTCTGTATATTTATATTAAAATGCTTTAGAAAGGCATACTGTACACTTTGGGGCAATATTATTTTAGACAGTGCAAATATTAGCACTAGGTAAATTAGAAAAGTCCACACAAGTTCCCTTCTGTTTAAATTCTACCCTTTCTTTGGCATGAGCCAGAATTAAGTTGTGGTAGCTATGGGACTCTTAGACCTTCTAAAATTTAGATATGCAATCTTGCTTAGTTTTGCTCAGGCTGTTACTAGATATTGAGACTAAAACTAACTCTGCAAAATGCAACACTAAGTGGAATCCGGTCATGAACTGCACTTGACATACATCTATCACAGACAAAGCTCTCACTTGGCTTTTAAAACAACTTGATAGGATGGGAATGGTGCTGAAACTCCATTTTCACAGAGAACTTCCCATTAAATCCCTAAATGGGATTATGGACATAGTATGGATAGTATATTTCTCACCAACCACATGCACACCTGGATGAGAAGTCAACACAGACAAGTATTGTGTTATTTTGCTTTAAAAAAAAACAAACAAATATATACCAAACTTGCCTTAAACAGGCCACGTCAACTCTTAGTTTACTCATCTTAATTTCTAATTACAAAACTCATCTTATGAAAACTTTCAAACTGTAAAATTTGCAAATTTGATGGTTCTTGGAAACTAAGATTTAAGATTTGAAAAACAAACACACAGAAACATTATAAAGTAGAGTGCTTAACTTGATTTAAGGGGTGAAAACAAAATATATCCCAACACAGAAAAACCATTTGCAATCAAACATTAAGACCCTGATGTCTCATCTCCCACGCACTGCCACTGATTTCCTGTGCTCCAAACCCCCAACTGCTTTTACCATTAAAGCTGCCACGAGTTGCATGGCTGGCTGCAGGAGGTGTAGTGATCCATCAGCGGAGTGCCAGAGCTTTGCCATTAGAAAACCATCTGCAAGCAAAAGCGCTCCATTGGCACTAGAAGTCTAGAGAGGCCAGGTTGAGGGGAGGGAGGGAGAGAAGAGAGAGCCCTGTGTTCAAGGCAGTTTGGTTTGATTGATATGAACCATTACAGACAACATGGGAGAGGTAGGCAGAGAGCTAGTCACCGTTTTATTTTTGGTCATTTGTTCAGACAAAAGCTTGGCCAGACCTAAAGTGAACAGGGACTGAAAGTCGGTGTGGGTGTGTGTACGTGTCAGAGAAAGATAAGTGTGGAAGTAAGGGACAGAGAGAGAAAATTTCAAGGCCAAAACAACAGTAAAGGGACAAAAACATACAGGAAACAACCTGGAAAGAAAAGCATTAAGGCATACATACAAACACGCACGCACTGCCACATCTTTTTGCTCTCTCGAGTGAAAGGAGCTACTTTCAATAGCATCAATCAGTCAAGCAAGAAGTATGATAACAATGAATGAACTGCAATCTAGCTTGACTACCTTAATGGGCTCATGTAATGTGACTGAAACTGTTAATTAGTACCACATTTTGTGGTTATAGTATAGAGCAGGAATAGGAATAGTATATAGTAATTTGGCTTCCAGCATATTTGACTAAAATATCAACATAAACATCTTAGGCTTTTTTAATAGATTCAGAAAAAAAAAGTTTGCTTTTTTGTATCCACTTCTTAACATGTGTCAGAAATGTGTGACGCTTTAGAGATGTACATAAAACTTACCGAAATGTAAGAACAGGAAACATCTCTGTTTAATGGATCCTAGAAGGTTATGTGTCACTGCATGAAGGCCAATTCAATTAAACTCTTTCACTATTAGATTTACTCTACTCCAATGGGACCACAGCACAGTATGGGAAACTACCAGACATATGAAACATTACCAAAAACACAGCCCCTCAGAATAGTCAAATTTAATGGCAAATAAAAGCCAGGGTGGCAGACAATCCTAATTCCTGGATGGTATCAACAAACTGAAGGTACAAAATATTACATCATTTTTGATTTACGATATCCCACTAAACATTAACAAGGTTGAAATCAATAGATAGTCACTAAGAGGCTGTATAATATAATTAGCTTTACATTTTACTGGTATTGAGTCATATCCAAGGGTTCATATGTCTTGAGTAGCCAGGCTATCAGTTTCTGACAGACCAGTATGACACAAGAGGGCTTTTAAACACATACATGTTGTAAAGTTAATGGAATCTTGCCCAAAATATTCCAGTAAAGACAGCAGATTTGGTGTTGGTTACCTTTATTTTATTCTGATCCAATTAAGTTATATAGTGCTGGAAGTCACAATTTTAGTGTATGAGGATGTCTGCCACAAGCAGAGCTGTGTTGCTTTTAGCCATACTAGGAATGTACTTTAATATTAACCCTTTAAGACCTACCATAGAACCAAGTCCGCCAGAGCTTATATTATATTTTTACATGCTGTGGAGCCATTTTTGGGAGCATTTCAAGTTGCTATACATCAATACAACCATTATAGCCCAGATTTTAATAATATGTATTCATTAAGTGCATAATAATTACATAAATTGCAAAAAAGTGCAATAAACTACAAAAAAATTGAAAATCGTTTTTGTTTTTTTAACATATATTTCTAATTAGAGAAATTTAAGAGGCTTATCCCTCAAAACTGTAAATACAAAAAAGTTGCACAAAATAGTTTCCCACCACAGGAAATTTATTTTGAGTGTCTTCATACTTTTATTTTTGAAATACACCAATTTTTATACACTGCAGGAAAAACGAAAATAAATATTATAATGCAAATTTGCAAAAAAGCAGCATATGCATCAAAATAAACTATTTCCAGCAGTGCAATTTGAGTCCTAAGCATCCCAGAAACGACACAGAAAGTCATAAAGTCAAAGATAACTTTTAAAAAGACCAGTATAGGCCCTGAGGCCCTGATGGTAAAAAAGACTACATTTCCGCGAAAATGACGTCACTTCCGGTTTCGGGCAGGTAATGGCGGAAATTCAAAAGTTCGCGCTGACGTCTATTCCAACGTAGGAAGTGTTACGAACAGCTGATCGGATCGGCAAAGCATGTTTCTGGAATATTATGTTTTTGTTCCTGCAAGCGCTTTTTATGCAGTTTTTGCAAAGCTTTATGTGGAAGGAAACCGTGACCTAGGACAAGCTGATGTAAGTACAACTCCTCCGGTTTCATATACAAAAAAAATTTTTGCGCTAGCTTACGTGGTTGCAGTGCTACCGGGATTTAAAAATAGTTACGCAAAACAGAGCGTGCCCGCTCCGATCGGCTCTAAAGGGTTAATTATAAAAATTTTGCCATGCCATAAACGCATTAGTGCCACTGCAGTACAGACACTGTAACACCAGTACACCAAAGAATCGTTACACATGCACCGTAACCTGGTGTGTGTCATCAAAACCTATTTTTACTCTTTAAAGTCTCAGAGCAGATCATGTGCTCTATACACCCTGCTGTTTTGCATTTCTGAGTCAGTGCATTCCAGATGAACCAAAAACACATGCTGAGACCACATTCACGTGTATTTTTAGGTGGTTGTTCAATATATTAGTATATAATATATATAATAGTATATAAAAACCTGCTTTACCTGAGAAGAGGCTGGAAGATTACAGTGATGTTCCTCGCACCTGGCTTACACACAAACTTCATTTCTCCTCCTTCAATCAGGTTGTCATCAGCGCCACCTACAATACAAGAAACACAGTTATAGAAATAACAAAACAGGCATATGTGCGTAGTGGTTGCCAGTGTTACATATACACACACATAAAAGAGGTAGAGAATTCAAAGAGTATTTTTGCATCAACGCAAGTCACAAATCCATTTTGCTTTCCTGGAGTTCACTTAGCATTACCTAGCACTATAGAGGAGAGCGCTTCAAGATTAGAAAGGAGGTATTATTTTATAGTAAACTTTGTCTTATATTTTTCTCCAAGAATAGATTGTAGGAAAGATATTTGAATATACTGCAAGTGTGAATCCTCTGAAATGTGACATTCTGCATTAAAACAGACTGCCACAATGGACATTTGATATGTGCACCTTTATGAAGTCATGTGCAAAAGACACCAGACTGCTACAGAAAAAAAAAAAATCACACTCGATTAACTGCACATCAGATTTCTCTGGTATGTTTGTCTGTACATTTCAGTTTTTCTGACATTCTCTATAATTTTGTCTGAAAACCTTCATATTTTACCCTTGAAATGTTACATGGTGAAAAAGCTGTTGGCATTTTCCAGTTTGATGTGATCACTTTTAGCACAAGGTAAAAATGGACAAAATAACTATCTTTGACTGACACCGTGATGCAGCCGTGATCCAAGACTGGCACACATCACCACACCTTCTACTTTATATTGCAATATTTATATTGTGCTGTATTGTGTTGTATTAAATTGTATTGTACTGCTACACCTACAAGAGTGCCAGGAGATGACCACAGAGTCACTGGGATAGTCTATTTGCAGTTAGAATAGTGCCCATAGTCTACCAACTCGGGAATTCCTGCTCTAAAACTAACAGTGAACTGTAACTCTGTTATTTCAATGAAATTAGTACATTGTTCCACCTTTTTCTATTTGTTTTTTTACATTTAGAAATGCTTAATCACCCATTTACCTCCACTAAGGTGGTCATGTTTTTGGTTGCATTTGTGTGTGTGCGTCATTCTGTCTGTAAACATGAGCACAAAAAGTTTTGAATGAATTCCAGTAAAACTTTGTCAGGGTGTAGACAAAGGTCTTCAAGGTCAACGTCTCATCTCACTTTTATATTTCACATCAGCCTTTCTTAACAGATGACCCAAAAAAATAAGTCACACCTGTAAAGAAAATACAATCAAGAGAAAACAAATGGGCTGCCTTGTTTGAAATATTTAATATAATATTATACAACAAGCTGAAGTTATTCATGTTCAGTTATTTAAAAATACCTATTATCCATTACCTACTCCTACATAATGTTTGAGTAATCAAAGTAAACATATGTTACCTTTATTTGGGTTTTACTGCACTCCAAACGTCTTAAAGTACATTTTAAAAGAACAAAGAAAACAAAATAAATATATATAAAGAAATTACTATTTCCTTATAAGTAATTAATGCCTAGAGAGTGAGCTGCCTTCGTGGAGGTGTGCACTCTCAAAGTGCTTCTTGTTCTTTCTGTAAACGGATTTACACATAGTCATATAATAGCAGAAAATTAGTGGCCAAGAAATACCGATGAGCAACTAAGATGAGAATAAACAGTCAGCAGTACAAAGAGGACAGATGTTTAAACACTCAGCTCTCAAACGGAAGAGAAGGAATCTTCACAAACCAATGTCTCCTTACTCTCATTTGAAGCATAAATGAAGTAAAACACTAATTTTACGATTTAGTTGCATTATTAAAAAGTCACCTTCACTAACCTTGTGTTTGGAATAATGACACTGAATATCTCTGTTAGCCACATGTTAGCAAAATGTGAGTATGTGAGCAAACAGAGAAAATGTTTAAAACCTATGTTAACCAAAAACTATATCTTGAGAACCGAAAAAAAAACCTACTCAAAAAGTACCACTGACTTACTGACCTCAAGGAGGGAACTGGAAGTTCAAAAATCCGAGCTAACATGCTAATTTCCCCGTGTGAGGACTCATTCATGTGGCACTCCATACACACATCAATATATCAACATGACAAGACAAATATAAATGCATCCCACATGCTCACACCCCTTCATGCCCTGTGTCACTGCGTGGGTGAGCCCCACAGCTAACAGGGTTAATCAGAAAATCATTGCCATGTAAAATCTTGGTGGAGGGGACAGGGGACTCCAGCAGATGGGGGGAAAGGGGAGATCACAGGGGAGAAGCAAAACTGAAGCTCATTACCTCCACTCATCCTGAAGTAATCAATATAATTGATAGATGAAATTGCAACTAGTTGTCAATATGGCAAACTGCAGTGCAAATGGATTGTATGTGCGCGTGTTGGTACAAATGTTTGCATAGGCTGATATGCTGCTTGCATTTAAATTGTGATTGGATAATTATAACAGAGGAGGACAGCAACATGGTAGCAGCATTCCTGTCTTCATAAAGTAATATTACAGAGATTTTTTTAATCCAGTATATGGGGAAAATACGTGTAGGCAATAGAACAAATAATTTTTTCTGCGCTTCTGTGCCATGGCTGTTGCGTGGCCCCTGCTTATGTGGCCCCTCATGGTCCTCTTTGGGCTCTCGTGCTCTGGGAGCCTCTGGATGTCTGGGGCCGGGATCTCCTCCATGCCTGCTTCATGCCCTGGGGGACGGGGCTAAGGCTCCCCACACCCTCTAGCAGATCATTACATGGAGCAAGCGTGGAGCACAAGCGTGCTCACACATACAGGTGTGCACACAGGTGTACACACGGGTGCTCACAGACATAAACTATATCTTTCTTGGCTGCTGCCTCAAAGCACATTGTGCAGTGTTGGTCTTCCGTACTACACAATAACATTCAATATTTAATATTTACTGTTAGTTACAGTTATCTATGCTGTGGTGTCGTGTTTATTGTGTTGCTCTCTTTTTGCTTGTTTTCTTTTTTATGTTCTCTCTCAACAGGTCATCCAGCGGATTTTTTATTTTTTTAATTTTTTTTTTTGTTTCTTCTCTCAGTGTCCCCCTTCCTCTGTTTTTCTTTTCCTCCCTTTCTTTCTCTCTCCCTTTCCTATCCTCCAGTCATGTCTGTACCATCTGTAATAACTTAAAATAAAATAAATAAATAATAATAACAAAGGTCAATGAAATGGACCAATGCGGTAAGGCCGTGATAATCCATCTGGGCATCCTTCTTGGCCTTCAGACAATAATTCCGATGGCTAAAAAACCAAACAGGCAGGCAAAAAAAAAACCCCAACAACAACAACAACAAAAGAAGAATAAAGAACTTTTTTATATTCAAACCATGAAGGTGTGATGGATTAATAACCCGTGTGGGTAAACTAATACTTGGGAAACACTTACAGCACCTGTCATATTCTGGTCAGATGAAATTAGGTGTGATTTGGTGTCAAGTGTACAGAGTAAGAAAAGTTAGAACACTGGACAGAAATCAAACAAGATGGGATTTAGAATTAGGTGTGTGTGTGCATGAGTGTGTCCTGAAATGATTTTCAGTTCAGCACAAAGCTTCACTTTGCTGTTTTCTTCTGTTTCATTTCCATGTCGAATATGGCCTCACAAAGCTTGTGCGCTATAACACAAAGACACCTTCGCATAGTGTTAAAGCCTGTTCCGCATTACCTGTGCAGCCTGCCTAGCCTTGCATTCAAATGCATATCAACCCATTGTTAACCGTACGGGCCTCTATTATACATTTCTAATAGAACAAGTTTCATTTGAAAAGTATGGGAGACAACACTCTCTGCAGTTTCATTAAAATGACAAGAGAAGCTTTCATTCCATCCAAAAGTTTTAACTCAAGGGTTTTTGATCCTGATCTGTTGCCATGAAATTTGCCTGCACGGTAAGCCCACATTCGTGTTGCTAAGTGGAGACAAAGATGAGGTCCAATTCACTCAAACTCTGTCTGTCTCCATCTCTCTATCCATTCATCCGTCCTTTGGTGCCAATTCAATTAAGACTCAATTACAGGCTCCTAAACAAAGCTGCCGCCAACGCACTCTCTTGCTCATCCTCCTTGCTCCATCATATTCTCTATCTTGCTTTCTCTCCTCTCTCTCACTCACTGATCACCAATGTGGAAAAAGCTGGCTAAACTTTTGTTTCTTCGTCATCAACTTGCAAACAGTTAAGTTCCCATGAATAACATCGACATGTTGCAGACTCCTGTCTAACTGGCAGCTACACACAAACAAGCGCACAGACGCACAAATTCAGACACACACCGAATAGACTACCACGTATGTATTCCCAATGACGGTGACCAATTTAATTTCATGCTCTAAACATCTGCATCCGTGTCAGACAAAGGAGCGAGGAAGAGACCTCATTGATCCATGGGGTCTGGGACCAGCTGCCAACAGGGCATAGCACTGATGAATATTAAATAGGGGGGCATTAATATGCATGGGATTTTTCAGAGTTGTCTAGACGTGACAGGGTGGCTCCGGTTTCAGGTCAGGATGCCACCGAACTGGTGCCAGCTCTCTCCCCATATAATGTGTAAAAATATTATATTGTTTGTCAAGCCCTGTGTGATTGTATATGCACGCATATCTATGAGCATTTGTGTCCCTCGGTGTGCGGTCTGATCCGAGATTAGTGAGAGGAGTGCGTGTGGAGGAGGCACGGTGCTCAGTCGGATGGCAAGTGAAAACTGGAAAGGAAGAAGTGACACATTCTAATGTGGCCAAATCTGCCTGAAATCCCCCTAGAGGGTCACTGCTCCGTCTGCAACACAAACACCTAAGCAGACATGACACAAAGCTATCAAAAAGGAAACCCATAAATTATAGACAGTACAAACAGACAAATACTAATATACTGTTATGCATATACATATGGCGCAAATGTTTTAAACACACAAACACAATTGTAAGGCGTGTAGTGTCACATAGCCTCTAACAAATGGCTCAGCTGAAATTACATAGACACAATATGCTCAAATACACTCGCACAGTGACAACAATCCAGACCCCTGTGGTGTCTTACCATGCACTCTCCAGCCCACATCTAATCAAGTCAGGCAGT